CACACATTTAAGAAAAATATGTTATGTTTATATCTTAAATATATTTATATATAATGTCAATTATATGAATATAAATATATACATGTAAATACATGTGCACAGTATACACGCATATATTATGCAAACAAAAACTTTTATTTTGGAAGCAATTAATCGCGATTAATCATTTGACAGCACTAAAAAAAAAAACAGAAACCACAGAAAAAAATCCCATAACAATCTTAAAAGAAAGAAAAAAAAATATTTTTAATATTAATGTTTTTGTACTTAAAAAAATAAAAAAATAAATAATAATAAAATAATTTGCCATCTCTGAAAATCAAAAAAAAAAAACTAAAACTAAAAGCAAAAACAAATGTGCAATAATGAATTGCAAGTTGTAGCAGGTTAAAACTAGTAAAACAGTCATTTCTTTCCCATACTTATTTTCTTAACTTTCCCATTTCTTTTCTGCAGGACAATTTCGGATTTGACCTCCAGGCGGTCGAGGCAGCTACCAAAAAACACGAAGCCATCGAGACGGACATCTCGGCATACGAGGAGCGCGTGCTGGCGGTGGTGGCCGTGGCCAGAGAGCTGGAGACAGAGAACTACCACGACATCAAGCGCATCGCCGCGCGCAAAGACAACGTGCTGCGTCTGTGGGAGTATCTGCTGGAGCTGCTCAAAGCGCGCAGACAGCGGCTGGAGATGAACCTCGGCCTGCAGCGCGTCTTCCAGGAGATGCTCTACATCATGGACTGGATGGACGAGATGAAGGTGAGCGAGGAAGACGAGGAGTGGGAGTTGGACGGGTTAGAAGTGAGATGCAGTGTAGCGCTCAGTGAGATGAACATTAAAAATAGATTCTAGCAATAGAAGTAGGTAAAAATTGTTCAGCTAAACTTTTAATAGATAGTAATAATTGGATCATATTTGAAGATATTATGATTATTTGCTTTAAGATTATGGTACAAAAGATTGACTTTACGCTCTATATGTTTGGGGTCCTATAGACACAGTTCTGTATTCGCAATAAAAATAATCATTTTGAAATTAATGTATTATTTTCCATCAATATATTTTTACATTTTTATAATAGGTTACTCAGACCTATTAAAATCTTAATGCTTTTGCCATTTTTATTTTTTGTAAATATTTCAGCTTCCTATTTAGGTTTAATTTACTTTCATTTCAGTTTTAGTCATTTTAGTGCTTCAACTTATTTAATTTCAGTTAGTTGTTATTTCAGTAAAGGTAGCATTTTTAATTTTCTATTTTTTTTTCTGTTTCAGGCTTATTTCAGTTAACAAAAACAACTTTTAATAGTTTTAGTTTCAGTTTGAGGTTTAGTTAACAATAAAAGCACTGCCTGACATACACATTGAATCATGAGGGTTATTATAATTAACTAAAACTAAAACCATAAAATGTTTTTTGTTACTTGAAATAAAATACTTTAACTGAAAAAAAAATTATTAAAAACAAACCTTAAACTTTTTTTATTTCTGCTAAGCTGCCAAGACCTCATTTCTCATTTTTATTTAGTCTATTTTGATGCGCTAAAATAACCAAAACTAAAACTGAAATAAAAATGGGAAAAAATGACAAAAACACAAAACTGTAAAATTTAAATTAAAATAAAATAAATATAAAACTTAAATAGAAACTATAAAATTTTGTATACAAAATATAAACTATAAAAATAAAAAAATATAAAAATAAAAACATTCAAAATATAAAAAACTATAGTAGTATCTCAATGATACTAAAATAACACTGACACCAACAAACTATACATTTTTATAACTTGCTCCTTTAACCTATTAAAATCCCGTATTATTGAATTTTTAACCTATGTTATTGCATATTTCATAATGTTTAGAACATAACATGATGGCAAAACTTTTTAATTTTACATTTATTCATTAAGCAGATGCTTTTATCCAAAGCGACTTACAAATGAGGAACATCACAAGCAATGTATCATTAGAGCCAAGCTTCAGTACAAGCTAGATTCCTGCATTAGCTTCAAAGCCAAGTGAATGCTGATCTAAATGATGTGGTTGTGAGTTTCTCCTGTCCTCCACAGATGCTGCTGCTGTCTCAGGATTACGGGAAGCATTTGCTGGGAGTGGAGGATCTGCTGCAGAAGCACGCTCTGGTGGAGGCCGACATCGGCATACAGGCCGACCGCGTCAAAGCCGTCAACGCCAACGCACAGAAGCTTGCCGTGGATGAGGAGGGTAAGAAGAGCTCTCTGTTCACCGCTTTTCACATCCTTACTCTTCATTTAATCAGAAACTGACTTTAGTCTGCCAATCAGAAGTTATTTCTGGATAATATTCATAGCAAAGAATCCATTCTTTCAGAATGACAATGAAAATATAAAATAGGGAGACCAAGTTCTATGAGTTTATGATTCCAGCAGGTTCAGATTCAGTTTCAGAGCCGTTTTTCATTCGGAGGAAACATGCAGAGCTGTTCCAGACTGGGTTTTGCGAGGTTCCCACGTTCATGGAGAACCTGGAACTAACAGGGAGTTTTAAAACTGTGATTTGCAGGCCAGGGAAAGTCAAGGAAATATAATAAATTGAAAATGGAAAAGTCATGAACATTTTATAGTGAATATAAATTTCTCTGGTTATGCTATAAAGGAAGTCAAAACCTTCTTTGTGTGCACACATATATAAAATATATAATTGTTTACATTTCTGAATTCCAAGATTAGTACCTGACATCAGCTTTAATATATTATTATAATATTTATTAATATTTTGTATTAGCTTTTATTTTTATATATCTTCTATATCTTCTATATTTTATAACTTTTTTCTATTTATTTATTTAAAACAGTTTATATTTTAATATTTATTATAAATTACGTTATTACTTATACATTTTTATTATTATTATTCATACTATTTTATTTATTATTATTATTATTATATGAAAACAACAACACTAAATTAGCATTTTTTTTAATTTACATTTTCATCTGTATTTGTCTGCATTTTTATTAGGTTTTTTATATTTCTATTTAGCTTCATTTTATTTGTTGTTTCAGTTTTAGTAATTTTAGTACTTCAACTTATTTTATTTAAGTTAGTTGCCAAGGCAACATGTCTAATTTTCATTTAAATATTCATATCTAATTTCTCTGTTTTATTTCATTTCAGCTTTATTTCAATTAACAAAAACCATTTTTAATAGTTTTAGTTTCAGTTTTCATTTTTAGTTAACAATAATAACACTGCCTGACATAAACATCTCATACGGAAATGTAATATATAGGGATGCACCGATACCACTTTTTCCAGTACTAGCCCGATACCGATACTTTTATTTTTGGTACTTGCCGATACCAATGCCGATACCGATATTTTTATTGCATTTCTACATTTTTTAAATATTGGGTACAGAAACCAAAAGGGTATGTATAATGTTAGTTGGTTAACTTCATTTATCAAATAGATACAGTCAAACCAAAATTTATTCAGACACCTTCAACATTTCTCACATTATCACAGTTTATTCGCTATAGTTTAGAAAATGGTAATAAAATATGACAAGAACTCAGAGTTACACTGTGTCAGAACAAATTCAGCTTGATAATGTTAGATAGCTTTGATAGAAAGGTATGTAATAGATTACAATCAACCAAAATAATTCAGACAGCTGTTAGTATGACAGTATTATTTACACAACTATGAACACTTCGTCGGGCAACCCTTAGCCTTAATGACAGCCTGTAGTCTCCTGGGCATGCTGTCACCCAGCTTCATGCAAACCTCAACTTCAGTTTTTTTCCAGACAAGCTCTGAATAATTTTTGGACCCAAATTTATATAATTTTTACTGGTAGTCCACTGTATGAAGAATTTTTGGGCATGATGTGTCACAGTTTACTTTATTTTGCTATCCTCGCTTACATAAATGAATTTGTATGGGCTACATAAATATGGTTTCATATATGTCTATATATTTCATATATCTAAATTTAGTGTTGCTGAAAAGCGACTTATACACATATATTACATTAGCGTATGAGATGGAATCATCCCCAGAAAGCTCTATTAAATAAGTTTAAAAATACTTAAGCAATGCTGCAGTTGTCATGGAAATTCATTGGTCAAAAAGGATTGGAGTCCTTTTTCCAAAAGCATATGGAGTTGTTATTCAACAAAGTCACTGTACATAATAATAATGAACCAGCTTGTGAAGAAAAGTTTATCTATTTCCCTATAAAAAAAATTGGTGTAGTTTTTACCCAGAAATTGCAGGTAAATTTCACAAAGAAACGGCATTAAACACATTAAATTGTGAAATTTTAGAAAGCCTGAAAGAGTATTTTCATACATTATACTCCAGTGATGTTTTATTCACATGTTCAAAAAATGTGACCCTGGACCACAAAACCTCTTTCTTAAGTGTCAATTTTTCAAAATTGAGATTTATACATCATCTGAAAGCTGAATAAATAAGCTTTCCATTGATGTATGGTTTGTTATGATAGGACAATATTTGGTCGAGATGCAACTATTTGAAAATCTAGGCCCTGAGGGTGCAAAAAAATCTAAATATTGAGAAAATCGCCTTTAAAGTTGTCCAAATGAAGTCCTTAGCAAAGCATATTACTAATCAAAAATTAAGTTTTGATATATTTATGGTAGGAAATTTACTAAATATCTTCATGGAACATGATCTTTACTTAATATCCTAATGATTTTTGGCATAAAAGAAAAATCTTTAATTTTGACCCATACAATGTATTGTTGGCTATTGCTACAAATATGCTCTAGGGTCACAAATAATTTTTTACAATATATTTGTCTATTGTTTCTTGCTGCTTTAATGTTTTCTATCTTCTCCCCATCCGATGCAGGTTACAAACCTTGTGACCCTCAGGTCATCCGTGACCGCGTGGCCCACATGGAGTTCTGCTACCAGGAACTGACCCAGCTGGCAGCGGAGCGTCGCGCCCGTCTGGAAGAGTCCCGCCGCCTGTGGAAGTTCTTCTGGGAGATGGCGGAGGAGGAGGGCTGGATTCGCGAGAAAGAGCAGATCCTGTCCTCGGACGACTGCGGTAAGGATCTGACGGGTGCCGTGCGTCTGTTGAGTCAACACCGCGCTCTCGAAGACGAAATGAGTGGCCGCGCCGGTCACCTCCAGCACACGGTGCGCGAAGGTCAAGCGATGGCTGATGCTGGGCACTTCGGCGAAGCCAAGATTCGCGAACGTATCGCGGATGTCCAAGCCCAATGGGCCGCTCTGGAGCAACTGGCTGCGGTGAGGAAAAAGCGCTTAGAAGAGGCTTGCAGCCTTCATCAGTTCCAAGCCGACGCGGACGACGTCGACGCCTGGACTTTGGACGAGCTTCGGATCGTCTCCACCGCTGACGTCGGCCACGATGAATTTTCCACTCAAGCTTTGGTCAAGAAACACAAAGACGCGTCGGCAGAGGTTGCTAGTTATCGCCCGGTGATCGACGCCCTTCACGAACAGGCCCAATCCCTGCCTCCCGAACAGGCCCAGGCTGCCAACGTCAGCGAACGGCTAGCGGGCATCGAGGAACGCTATAAGGAGGTTTCAGAGCTGTCCAGGATTAAGAAACAGGCCCTGCAGGATGCCCTGGCGCTCTATAAGATGTTCAGCGAGGCGAACGCGTGTGAGCTCTGGATCGACGAGAAGGAGCTGTGGCTCAACAGCATGGAGATCCCAGAGAAACTGGAGGACCTCGAGGTCATTCAACACAGGTGAGAGGTCAAGTCTGGATATTTGTGGTCATATTTATGCCATGCATTTTGCAGTAATTTTGCGGGTATGTTTTGTGCCATTACTTGATTTGCATCATTTTTAAATGTTTGATGCTGGCTTGAGAAAACCAAGCCAGACAGCTTAAAGTAGTTTAAAAAGCTTGACCTTTGAAGTAGTTTTAAGTTTGAAGAAGTTTTAAAAGTTAAAGTTTTAAATGTGTAGTTTTAAAAGTTTAAAGCAGTTTTAAATTTGAAGTATTTTTTTAAAGCAGTCTTACGTTTGAAGTAGTTTTAAATGTTCAAGGTTTGAAGGATTTTTAATTTTGAAGAAGTTTTAAAAGAGTTTAAAAAGTCTGAATTTTGAAGTATTTTTAAAAACTTTAATTTTAAAGCAGTTTTACGTTTGAAGGAGTTTTAAAAGCCTGAATTATGAAGCATCTTTAAAAACTTGAATTTTAAAGAAGTTTTAAGTTTGGAGCAGTTTTAAATTTGAAGTATTTTTAAAAAACTTGAATTTTAAAGCAGTTTTAAGTTTGAAGGAGTTTTAAAAGCCTGAATTATGAAGCATTTTTAAAACTTTAATTTGAAAGAAGTTTGAAGTAGTTTTAAATGTTCAAGGTTTGAAAGAATTTTAAGTTTGAAGAAGTTTTAAAATTTCAAGTTTTGATGAAGTTTTAAATTTGTAGTTTTAAAAGTTTAAAGCAGTTTGAAATTTGAAGCATTTTTAAAAACTTTAATTTTAAAGCAGATTTAAGTTTAAAGTAGTTTTAAATGTTCAAGGTTTGAAAGAGTTTAACGTTTAAATAAGTTTTAATAGTTTAAAGCAGTTTGAAGTTTGAAGTATTTAAAAAAAAAACTTTAATTTTAAAGCAGTTTTAAGTTTGAAGTAGTTTTAAATGTTCAAAGCAGTTTGAAGTTTGAAATAAGTTTAAATATGTGCATTTTGAAGCAGTTTGGCAGATGTAGCTCGAAAGCTCTAGGATGAGTTAGAAACGTTTCTCTTAACAGTAATAAGTTTAAGTAGTTGATCAGAATTTTGGCTTTCTCAAGCCAATATAATTCGGAGCATTTACTGCCGTAGCTGTTCATGCAGTGTCACGCCGCTGGAGAACAGCAGTACAAATGAACGTCTGAATCTTCTCTGTGGTCGATAACAGATTGAACTCACTCTAATGTGGTCACACATCACATTCTCAATTTCTCAAGGACAAATTAGCCCTTATTGTAAAACATTATTCTTCAGAACTGCTGTTCTTGATGATTGTGTGGTGAAAATGTTTTGATTACCCTCCAGGTTTGAGAGTCTGGAGCCTGAAATGAATAACCAGGCCTCATGCGTGGCTGTTGTCAATCAGATCGCCAGGCAGCTGATCCACAGCGGACACCCGAGTGAGAAAGACATCAAAGCCCAACAAGACAAACTCAACACCAGGCAAGTCATAGCATTCTGTGTTGGTGCCAAATGTATTTTTAAGTTCTGTGTAGAAAGTATATTCACTTTCAACCATCGTTTTGGTAATTGTACATATTGCAATTTCAATTTAAAATCCATATTGCAAGTATTTAAGAAAAATTGTACTGTAATTTTACTGTAATTTATTTTAAATTATATTACTTTTTTTTTACTTTACTCTTAATTTCTTTATTTTCAAACCATCTTTGATAATTGCACTAAGCCATATTGTGAATTTGGTCAATTAAATAAAAATATTCAACAAAATTATTAATATTACTATTGTAATATTTCACTGTAAATAAAAAAATCTAATGTATAAGAAAAATAATGAAATAATAATAATGATTTTATTTTTGAATTACAATACTAATATTTTTTACCATCTTAATTCATTTTCTAATCCTATTTTTGATAATGGCACTAAGACATTGCAATTTTGGTTTCCTAAATAAATATAAAAAAAAAAAATTATGTAAATAAAAAACAAAATAAGAAATATTACTATTGTAATATTTCACTGTAAAATAAACAAATGAAGCATTTAAATATAATAATAATAGTTTTATTTTAAATTACAATACTAATATTTTTTGCCAGTCTCAATTTCTTCATTTTCAAACCATCTTTTTGATTATTGCATTTAGCCATATTGCGATTTTGTTTTTATTTCAATGAATCGTACATTTGATCAGTTATCTGTGTTTCCTGGAAGTTGAATCTATGACCTTGGCATTTCCAGCTCCTTTCTCTACTCATTGAACACAACTTAACTAGCTTAACCATCCGAGCATGCTGGTCAACTCCCTTCAATAGATGCATTGAGCATGTGTAAACTAGCACTTAACCAGTCTGAACCAGCTGGTTCCAGCGTAAAACTACAACCTGATGCTCATCCGCAGGTGGAGTCAGTTCCGCGACCTGGTGGACCAGAAGAAAGAGTCCCTGAACTCGGCCTTGGGCGTGCAGAACTACCACCTCGACTGTAACGAGACCAAATCCTGGATCCGTGAGAAGACCAAAGTCATCGAGTCCACCCAGGAGCTGGGCAACGACCTGACGGGCGTAATGGCCCTCCAGCGCAAGCTCACCGGCATGGAGCGCGATCTGGCCGCCATCGAAGCCAAACTGGGCGACCTCCACGGCGAGGCGGAGCGCTTGGCCGGCGAACATCCCGACCAGGCCAAAGCCATCACGGGACGGCTGGCCGAGATCACCGCCGTCTGGGAGGAGATGAAAGAAACCCTACGAAACCGTGAGGCGTCTCTCGGGGAAGCCAGCAAGCTGCAGCAGTTCCTCCGAGAGCTGGACGATTTCCAGTCCTGGCTTTCCCGCACGCAGACGGCCATCGCGTCCGAAGACATGCCCAACACGCTAGCCGAGGCCGAGAAGCTTCTGACCCAACACGAAGGCATCAAGAACGAGATTAACAACTACGAAGAGGACTACCAGAAGATGAGGGACATGGGCGAGATGGTGACGCAGGGACAAACGGACGCTCAGTACATGTTCCTGAGACAGAGGCTCCAGGCTCTGGATACCGGATGGAATGAGCTTCATAAGATGTGGGAGAACCGGCAGAACCTTCTATCGCAGTCTCACGCCTATCAGATCTTCCTCAGAGACACCAAACAAGCCGAGGCCTTCCTCAACAACCAGGTAAGTTGGTTGAACACCAGTGTACTCCTGAAAATAAAGGCTCTTTATAGGCGTTGATGGTTCCATGAAGAACCTTTAACTTCCAAGATTCTTTATGGTTGAAAAAGATTCTTTAGATTATTAAAATCTTCTTCACATTAAGAAAAAGAATGGTTCTTTTATGTTTTATGGTTCACTGAAAGGTTCTTTGGGAAACCCAAAAATGGTTCTTCTATGGCATTGCTGCAAACAAAATAAGAAATATTGCTATTGTAATTAAAATTTTACTATTGTAAAATTAAAATGTAGTATTTAAGAAAAAATATATTTTAAATGACAATATTAATATTTTTTGTCTCTTAATTTTTTCATTTTCAACCATTTTTATGATAATTGCACTAATCCATATTGCGATTTTTGGTTGACTAAATAAAAATATTAAACAAAATAAGACATTTTACTATCATAATATTTTACAATAAAATTTAAAAATGGAGTATTTAATAATAATAATAGTAATAATAGTATTTAAAATTACAATACTAATTTTTACTTTTTTTAATAATTACACATATTTTGATTTTGTTTTACTAAATAAAATTGTTTAAAAAAATAAGACATTTTATTATAAATAAACTTTGACTTTGACTATTAATTAAATATTTCACAGTAAAATAAAAAATCAAGTATTTAAGAAAAATAATAAATATATTTTATATTAATATTACTTTTCTAATATTTTTTATCTCACTTAATAAACTAATATTTTTTTCATCTCTTAATTTCTTCATTTTCAAATGTTAAACAAAAAAATAAATTTTGCTATTGTAATATTTCACTGTAAACAAATAAAAATAATCATCATCATTTTATTTTAAATTACAATACATTTTTTTTTTTTTTTGGCTTATTAAAAAGTGCTTCACACTATTTGAAAATGGTTCTTTTAAGAACTGTTCACTAAAAGGTTCTTTTATGGCATCGCTATCTGAGTGATTTATTCTATGTCTTTCTGCAGGAGTATGTTCTGGCTCATACCGAGATGCCCACCACCCTTGAAGGAGCAGAAGCTGCTATTAAGAAACAGGAGGACTTTATGACCACCATGGATGCGAATGAGGACAAGATCAACAGTGTGGTGGAGGCCGGGAGGAGACTGGCCAGTGACGGAAACATCAATGCTGACCGCATCCAGGAGAAAGCAGCCTCCATCGATGACCGGTAACAAAACACATGCACTTAAACAAGTCAAAGTGAACAGGATAATAGACAAAAGGGTCTGGCTGACCTTCGACCTTTAACCTGCAGGCATAAGAAGAACCGTGAGGCGGCCGTGGAGCTGCTCATGAGGCTGAAGGACAACAGAGACCTGCAGAAGTTCTTGCAGGACTGCCAGGAGGTGAGCGGACCCTGTTGTTTTAGTATCTTTAGGAAACTATTATAGTTTTTATTCATATTTAGAATTTGGAGTTTTTATTTATTTATTTTTATTTTTATTTTAGTTAAGGGTTTAGTAATTTTTTGTGTGTTTTTGCCATTTTTATTATTTTTGTGTATGTCTGTATTGTTTTTATTATTTTCAGTTTTAGTTATTTTAGTACATCAAGTTAAACTAAATTAAAACGAGAAATGTTGTGAGTTGTGATACATGAAATAAAAAAAAATCAGTTAAGGTTTTTTATATTTTAAATTGATTTTTTTTATGTTTAATTGGCAACTAACTGTATTAATTTTTTTTTAATATTTCATTTCAGTTAACATTCATTTTAACACTTTTTATGATATTAGTTTCAGTTTTAGTTAACTATAACAGATGTTATTATAGTTTTTATTAATTTTTTAAATCTTTTTATATATATATATATATATATATATATACAGTATATATATGTTGCCAAACGATTATTGACGATTTATTATGTATATATAAATACATGCACATGCATGTATATATTTAAGAAATATTTACATGTATGTGTATGTATATATATATATATATATATGTATATGTTCATATATGATTTATATTATACATAAATATAAGTACATATTGCATATATTTCTTGAATACATACATGTATGTGTGTGTATTTATACATATAAATATACACAGTAATAACAATTTATTTTATTTCTGTTAGCATGTATTTATTTCAAGTAACAATTTTTTTATGGTTTTAGTTTCAGTTTTAGTTTTATGTGCTGAAAAATAAGGCAAATCCAATAGAAATACATCTTAGCTTGACTGTTTTTGCGTCCTCTGCTCAGCTGTCCCTGTGGATCAATGAGAAGATGCTGACAGCACAGGACATGTCCTACGATGAAGCTCGCAACCTGCACAGCAAATGGCTCAAACACCAGGCCTTCATGGCCGAACTGCAGTCCAACAAAGAATGGCTGGACAAAATCGAGAAGGTCAGTTATTACTACACTTAACATAAAAGTGCTCAAGTTACAAGTCTTGAAAATGTGCTGGTTTTTATGTTTTTGTGCATTTATCTCACAGAGCCTCACAGACTAAATCTAAGCATCTCTTCTTAGATATTCTGTTTTTGCCTGAAATACCGAAAATGAAATAAGTAATCAAGTGCTTTACCAGACAGAATCTATGATCCTTCTTTGAAAACATTATGCATTCATTAATTCTGTATCTCTTCTGTATTATTCATCTTGCAGTGCAAAGTATTGCGTGTTAAAGCATTAATATTTAGACAGTATGCCATATTTATTATTATTGGTTTGCGAGATATAAAATCAGAATTGCGAGAAAGTAAGTCAGAATTATGAGTTTACATATCACAATTTCAAGTTTATATCTCACAAGTAGGGATGTAACGATTAACCGCGAGCCGGTTGAAAATCGATTCAAATATGTGACGATTCAAATCGGTTGAGATGCTAAACAAATCGCGATTCAATTAGGGGTAGGAGTTTATATGAATCCAATTTTAGAAAAGTATAGATGGTATTTTTTCTTTTCCTCTTGGCTCTGTATAATGCATATTAAAGTTCATAAGTGCAGCGCTGCTTTGTTTACAGCGGTAACCAAGAAAACGCTTTAAGCGCCACCTGCTGGCAGAGAGTGCATCTGCGTCTCATTCAGCTCGTCTGCGGTTTCGGTTTCATGCAGATATATTTTATGCATAGTTTCACAAAACTGAAGTCAAATCATTCTGTTTTTGCTTCAAATTTCGAAA